TGACCTCTCGTTGACCTGACTCGTTAGCTAGTTCTCACTAATATTAATATTATAAGTATATAAGTATAGTATATATATATAATAATAATTATATCACGTAGTTTAGCTTTAAGTCAGAAATTAGGGCTAGAGACAGGCCGGCGTCAAACAAAACGTCAGGAACATAGCACCCTACGAGACTGTTCCCCTCTATTGTAGTTAGTAGCTTTAGGTAGGTAGTGTATGTAGTTAGTGAATAGGAGTGGAGTAGTGACCTGTGAGTGATTGAGTGTTACTGGCTTAGCATAGTAACGGATGTAACAAGTCTCAGTATTAGTTTATATTTTTTATCAGAATACCACTAATATTGTACAACAGCTACTAGTATTTTTTGTTATTTAACGTTTATTGTATACCCGGTTAATGGATTGTTCTGTCCAATTAGTAGGATTATTCTAATAATGTTGTTTAGTATCTATTGCAATTGCAAAGGCACACAACTCGTACATAAAATTTACTTATTGAAATTACATTTAACGAAAAGTGACCATTTTTTTATTTACTATATCAATGAAGATTAATCAGTAATCTTCAAAATAATCTTTATATAAATCAATTTCTTTTGCTTCAAGGGACAGAAATTTTTTGGTGACCTGATGAGTGATGGAACGATACAGCTACAGACGACAAAAGAATTATTTAGCTCGCCGAGTGCATGGGCCATTCACTGCAAGAAAATGGTAAACCCGGCAAAACGATCCGGCTGTGGATGGGGCTCCGTAAGTATCTGCATGCCTGTGTGTGTGCGTGTGTGTGTGCGTGCGTGCGCGTGTGCGTGCGTGCGTGCATCTGTGTACGTATGTGTGTGTGCGTGGTGTATACATGTGTGTGCGTGCGTGCGTGCGTGCATGCGTGTGTGCTTGCGCACGGGCGTGCATGCGTGAGTGTGTGTGTGTGTACATGTGTGTATGTTGTGTTTTGTGGTTTGGTAACGATGTCACGATATGCAGACCGTTGTCGTGTGTAGTGTCGTAAGGTCAATAAATTCGCAGAAGAATCTGCTGGAATGGCAATCTGATATTTCCACAATTTTATTGTGGATTTTGATTCTAAACCTAGTAGACATTCAACGTTATTCATTTATTCACACCTGATAGGTCAATACGGACCTGGCAAAAACATACAAACATGTAACATTAAATTATGGGTTTATTTATATATTTATGCTTCAGGTGAAGTACAAAGGTAGAAAACTCGATACATACAAAACGATGTGGTTCAACAAACAGAGACCATGCGACGGAAAGGAAATTCGCAAGGTATACCCATAACCCTTTTTATATATATGCTGTAGTAAATGTGGAGAGGTATAAGATTGTGGCCCTGCTATACAAAAATCACGGTTAAACTACGTATATAGTGCTTAGTAACATTTTAACACTATTAACATTATAACGTTATTATTATAACATTATAATGTTATTATTATAACATTATAATGTTATTAACGTTATTAAGATTTTAACATATTAATGTATATAGTGCAGAGAACTGCACACTACTAGGTGAAATACACACTATACACCCTAGGCGAAATATTGTGCTTTTTATTGTGTTTGGCTTCGATGATATGCTTTCTCCATGCTCTTTCTCTGCATTTCAGCCGCAGCATCTTGTGATGAAGTCGTCACCCCATTTTTCCCTTGCCATCTTTTTGCCCCATGTTTTACACTGCCGAGCCATCCTTTTGCCCTCAGTTTTCCCATATAGGTGGAGCACCTCTACCCCCCCCCCTCCCAAAAAAAAGGTGAGTACCCACCCCCCCTGGGTCGTGTGTGTTTTGCTGATATATAATGATTGACGTTCTGAGACATATTAACTTGGCTGCATACACTTGACATTAAGCAAGGACTTGACAATTAGTCTCTAAGTGCTCTCTCTTCATGGTTTAGGACATGCAAAGATATTGCTTTCATATATAAAGTCGTTACAGCGACTTAGCTAACTTGAGTTTTCATGTTGGGGAAAAATCCATGTATTGCCTGGGCAGTTGAAAGTGGGCTGTTCCCCCCATCGAACATGTAAATTAATAGTAATCTACATTGGTCTCAAGGAGTGACTGCCGCCCCCCCCACCCGTTCCCCACTATAGCTACAGCCGTGCAGTGTTGCAGCGTGCGTGCGTGCGTGTGTGTGTGGGCGCGTGCGTGCGTGAGTGCGTGTGTGCGTGCGCGTGCGTGTGTGTGGGCGCGTGCGTGCATGCATGATAGAATATATTTTACTAAAATTTGCGGACGGTAACATGCCCTCTTCATGGTTTCCAGGTAGCAGACACGAGGCACCTATCGCTGGCCTTAGTGAATCATTGCACACAGGTACTGCTATCGAATACTACTATTCATGCTTAGCAACATGTATTTCGTTACGGATTTCTTGATAGTAATATCGATAAAATAGTTAAAATGCAAAAGTGGGATTTTCTGCGCGTGTTTAGTAAGTCGTATATTGTCCACGGATATTCTCAAGTGTGTTTAAGGTCGTTATGACTTTAATTGGGAGTCGTTGTCGACAAATTTGCGCGTTGTTAACGATTACATATTTTACACGCCTTTCGCTTTTAGCGGCCATGTTGGATCGTCGGTCGCCGCAGCTGATGTTCGTTTTGCTCGTCGTGCTGCTATCACGACTTCAGCGGATTCTATGATAGGAGAGGCGTTACTGCGTCCGGGACCATTCTTTGAACTTCGATTGTATGATATTTTACATTGATAATGGGCCGTGCATCCTGTAAGCATGGCCCCCTAGGACTAAGATGTTTTCGTGTCATGGTTTCGGTTGTGTGGCGCGTAGGAAATACGCCCTTTGAGACTCACTGTCACCTAGGCTGCATTTACTTTTTTTGGCTAACAACTACCTTCAGTCCCTTTTCTCGTCAACGAAAAATTATTTAAGCAATGTTATTGAAAATTCGATGCACTGCCCCCCCCCTCTATTAAAAACTGGTGTGAAAAACCTTGAAGAAATGGTAAGGATAGAGTTGTGTCATATTTCACAGCCAGAAAATTGCCTGCTAATTGGGTAAATATTGGTATAAACGTCAGTAAATTTGTCCTGGGTGATAGTGAGTTTTGTAAGGAAGCCTGTGTTTCTTACCTGTTAGGTAACCATGGTAATTCCATGCGGTCTGTCACAAGTATTACACGTGCATCTGGTATATGCTCTCTATATAAGCGTGATTAGCACCTGTGATTTATTCTTCATCTGGAATGCTATCGAAAACCCGAGTATAGTGAGTGGGGGCCACTTGACGGAGAGTGGAATAGTGCGTGCATGATTCTAGTGATATTTAACGGTCGTTAATTAGATATACTGTATTCCCTTCTACACAATACACAATGACAAGTGTAAGGTAAAATACGATATTAAATTTTTCGATTATATTCTTCATAACATTATTTTTAATTATTATTTTCTATATTATTTATTCATGACAATTATTTTCTTTTTATTTATTTTTCATTTTGTATATTTTTTATTATTCTATTACGTTGACGATGATAACCCATCGAAGAATTAATATCAGTCGCTTTTATCATTGCAAAGTTGCCGACTATTTGTTTCGTACTTATTAGCTTCGAATGATGGTTTTCTTGAAAACACGAGAAAAGAATCTTTAGTTAGATGGAAAGGTCGCACCTAATTATTCGCTAATTAGCAAGCCTTAACGACCCTCTCATTCGTCACTTGTTCTAGACGATCCTGACTGTTGTTACCAGGTTCTTGATCTTTGTTCGCATCAGGAGATATCAGCTAGATAATATGACCTACTTAGCGTAGATATGTGACGGTACTGAGGCACTATAATTGATATGCATGACGAAGTACTAATAATTATATATATCTCACATGAATCCTGCAGGAGTTGTGGGAGCTGGCTTCAAAAACCTAGCTTACTACAGCTCCCTCGATTACAATGTAATACATTTAATACATCATGTGTATCGTGTAATTCTGAATTTATGAGATGTGTCTCTTGCTTTTGTTTCTTTGTAACATATTCATTATTTATAAGGTGACGTTGGCCTTTGTTTGTGTAATGTAAAATATCGTTGAAAACCGAAAGTATTCTGAAGGCTTGGAAGTGAACATTTTAAGTTCTTCGTGATTCTATGTACGTACAGGATCATGTGATGATCACATGTGAGTGCACTTATTGTTATTTAATTGCACAATTCATTGTTTAACCGTAATTTTTAAGTAATTCATAACGTTGCACGATTGCTTGCCATTCCACATTTAGATCCTAGTCGTTTCCACACTGTTAAAATCCTTCCTTTCCTAACAAGCATACTCGTAATACTAATATTATTAGTGATTATAATGTGGTATTAATATTCATATTATCAGGGGATAATATCAGGAGGCTATTTTATCAGGAGCGAATAATAATAGAATAATATATTATTATTTATTCCTGATGTTATCAGGAGCGTATAATGACAAATATTTGTCATTATACGCTCCTGATGTTATCTATATTATACACTCCTGTACCAGCATGCGAGGCACAGTAGTGTATGTGGGTTTACACTTCATATTTATAACGAAATATAAGTAATTAACTAAACATATAGTCAACCATCAATGCTCCAGTGCAGGGAATAAACACCTCTTGCACATAATATCGCTTGAATGTAATTATTTATTGTAAATTGATGTATTTAATTGTAGAAATGTGGTTGGTTATTTGTTATGCTATAGAGTAGAGATGATTGCATCGTCGTAAATACTAATTAGAAATACTAAAAGGCTATGTATAAACTTCGATTCTCGTTCTCACGTTGTGAATTCTGTCATGACACGTATTATTACATATCATTTATGAGCTGAAAAGAGATTGGGGGTGAAATTGTGATGTAAACAAAATGGAAATTTTAAGCTCGATTATCAGTCAGTTTTATATGATTTTCGGTTTAATTTTTTCGTGGTGGATCAGAGTTACCTAAGGTAGGCTTAGTGTGTGAGGTAGGCTTACGTGCATAGGGTAATTCGATAATTGATATATGTGTTTTGGATCGTTTTGATTTTCGTGTTACTATTATAATGACTGCATAAACTCGTTGAAGTTAGTTCACTCGTGGAAGGCATTGTTTGGTTTGGTCCGAGACAAGGAAAAGGACTGGTTCTTATATGAGCATTACCTGGGTAACTTTGAAGGTGTGTCCATTGAACATGGCAGAGTGTTTGACGATGGTTAACTGCCCAGAGGCTGCTTTTACTGTTACCATATGTATCTTTAGCTATGAGAATAAGGTTATGATCTCTTTAGAAACACATTGAAATAGCATGCATCCCTCTGTTTCCATTACTCCTACTTCCCTTTATATTCCTGCATGACGTCATCTTGAAACTCTGAATAAAGCGGGGCGTTATTAACACTAAAATTAACAGGGTTGCTTAATTACGAATTCGGTAATTAATTCATTGATGGAGAAATGACCTCCCTTGTATATAATGATTTAGGTACCTGTTGTAATACGTAGGCACTATATTGCAGCTTGTATTATGTCACTGATAGAGTAGGTTTAGCTATATTTGTATTTGTACGTTTGAGAAAGGCGAGCTAAGCTTTGATGTACTACTTATTGTCACTTTGTGAAAAAATGCACATTCCTTGTAATTAGTAATGTGAGAGTGAGGGTGGGTACCACGTTAACGCTACGTACGGAAGGCTATCAGTGATCGTACACAATATTCGTATGTGTTGGTATTGTATATGCGTGTTTTGTGTCGATCTTTGCGTGCGTGCGTGCGTGCGTGCGCGCGTACGTGCGTGTGTGCGTGCGTTCGTGCGTATGTGCGTGTGTGTATGGGTGTGAACTTGTGGTATTGTATATGGTCATTGATGCCATCTCTTGCCTAACCAGTTGAAGGCAGAGATGTTGATTCTTAGCAGTTGGACTTCGTGTTAGTGTTGTGGCATAGCTACTCTTATTAATGCATATCTCGATAGTTTGCGTACGATATATCTATCTATCTATCCATCTATATATTCTATCTATCGATCTTTCTTTCTCGCTCTCTTTCTCTCTCTCTCTCTCTCTCTTTCTCTCTCTCTCTCTCTCTCTTTTGCGCTGCGCATTTCAGACCGCGCCGACAATCTGTGATGAAGTCGTCAGACAACGGGGACACCTCCAAAGAAGGGGAGGACGAGTTGTTCAAGGGCGATCCATCAACGTCGACCGCGGAATCTCACGCGTTGAGGTACGACGTGCACACAGTGTAGTGTGTAACGCTTGAGGTCTGCTGAAGCGTATGCACTGTACCACATTGCACGCCCTCTTGCGAATAAACCAGAATAGTGGTTGGCGCAGAATTTATTGTCTGAGTAGTAATCTGGTTAAATCCGGTGGTACATTATACAATCTATTTTCGAAACAGATTGGTCCAAATTAATTGGTGCTTGAGCCCGGATTTATTTTGAAGGAACTAACCAGAAGCAAATCTTCGAAGATCAGCACAAAATATTTCCTCGTGGGCTAATACTGTGTATAGAAGGACCTGCACTTGCATGCCCATGCAGCTGTTCAATGTAATATTAATATAATAGTATAATATCTATCATATCATATAATTTATAATAACATGATTGTCATAGTTGTCAGTACCAATAATAACATAAAAACGGAAGCAAGTATTATTTCTCTGTGTTGTGTAAATTATATGCCCTGTATTATCATGCAGAGTACTATCAAGCTTGGTATTTTCTGTCATGTTGTGGAGCTAGACAATGCATTGTGAATAGTTGCATGTCAGTAAAGTCGCAAGTAATTTTCAGTTGACTTTATAATATCCATTGGTTATGACGTTAAAATTTGTTACTTTTCAACTTTAACAGCTAGTATTAAGTTGCATGTAAGAAAAGCCATGCAGTTAATTTCATGTGTGAATGATGCATATCAAGATTATTGGGGCCGATGGCTCTATTGCCAGGGACATAA